ACGGGGAACGCGACGGTGAATGTGGGCTAATTGAGTTGAGTTGGAAAAATTTCGGGGGCAAAGTCAACTGGTGAATACAAGATAAAGCCATGAAAGTTTTTTCCATATCAATCAAATCCCAGAACACAATCATTTTTTGGTACTTTATCCTTGTACTTCTTTGGGAGTTCTACGTACTGATCTAAAAAAAAAAGAGAGAAAGAGGGTCAACTGAATTTCGTGGCCATTTTATCAGTAGAAATCGATCTATCTGCTATTTTTTCAGACTGAGGACGTGAAGGGTGTGTGGAGGAGACGGTTTTTTCACGAGGATTCATGCATCACCGAGGTGAGAGACGACATTCAATTAAATATCTAAATTTCTCTTGATCACGTGGCTTACATGTGATGACCGTGGTCTGTGTAAGGTTAAACCTCAAAGATTTATTATGGAAATAACTTATAAGCTCATGTTTTTCACGTCCCATAGGTTCGTGTCACGGTTAAAAACAAGTGATACATACAATTCCTTGTATAAAATATCACGTGATACGTGCTTTTTTCACTGCTGTACGCAGCTTCCCCTATGTTGGAATGTAAGGTGTGCTAATGTTTCATCAAGTATCAGTTTGAAAGATTCAATGCTTGGAGCACAGACGACGTAGGATGGGAGAGAGTTGCAGATTGAACACACTCTGACTGCAAATGACTGACGCCGGCATTCCAATCGGCATTTGGAGACCACTAGTTCAATAGATGTCCTCCAAAATGAACGTTGGGTGATAATTTCAGAAGCGGGCGACACGGGTTGCTTGGGTTTTGCATTATTTGGTATACCATAATCATATCTCTTCTGATGCGCCGGTAGTGATTGGAATATAACCCCAGTGACTTCAATCTCTCTGCGTGTGAACACCGATTCAACCGCCTGACCACTTTTGGTGGCCATCTTTGTGGACGATCCAGCACTTTGCAATCAAGTTGTAGCCATGGATTCCATGCCTAGATAGCATAATCTGAATGTATGCTAATAATAGACGGGGAAAAGTGTTGACTCAAACCGGCCAAAGACCCACCTAAGCAAACCGACATTCTTTGCAGCTACGTTCGATACCTTGGTGCAGTTGAGTGAGCAACTCAAGTTTTCTTGAATGATGATGCCCAGGTCCCTCTCACTTGAGGTGTGTGGCAGTTGTTCATTTCTGCGGAAATAAGAAAGTCGCCCACTGTGTATTATGCATAGGGATTGGATAGGCCACCTCTGTGTGCAATGTTAACTGAGACACCGAAGGGTGGTAGTAGGGATTCTGTGACTAATTGACTCAATGACTGAGCACATTGGCTAACAGGACTGTGTGGTAAATTACTTTCAATTTTCAGTTTAAATAACCATTAACCATGCACTTTCTTGCTCCGGTTATGGTTGATGTCTTTTGGCTGCTCATTTGGATGAACAGTAGGAGAAAGACAGGAAAGTTGAAAGTAAAGTCAAAGAATTTCAGCGGACTAAGGTTGCAAAGAAATTGAAAAGATGTATGAACGTCACTGTTTACAACGCTTAGCCATATCACAAATTGTCTCTAAGCTCCGGTTACGATCATCCCGAGGTCCCTAGCCAGTGGGTATCACGGGGTTGTAAATAGTGGTGCTTCAGCATAATGTGTGCTAAAGTAGAAAATGCTTTTAGCTTTTTGGATATCCCATCCCCAGTGGTCAATGATATGAGTAGCCCGGAGACAAGAACAAATCGAGAAACCGGCACGCATGAGTGAAAAAAAGTGGAAACTAGGAACTTGTTGGTTTGAAATTAAATTCATCTAACGCTCAATCACAACTCAAACTGAAGTATAATCAGAATGTGTTCATTACACTTTATTTTTTCTTCAAATTTAGGTTTATCAATGACGATTATCTAAGTATTTTCAAAACGAAATAAAAACCAAACAAATCATGGAGAACAAAGGATCCGTTGGTTCGTGGACACGTGATCAATTGGAAGATCAATACCTACGTCTCTATGATGATTTTCTGACATTGAAAAAACACTGTTGCAAACAGGAGGACCGAATAAAACAGTACAGTCAATTGCAATTCACACAAAATCGATGACTCATTTTTCTCCCTCTTTTCCCTTTTCTCCAATTTTTTTTCAAGGATGGCCACTAAGATATTGCGATTAGCTAATGACAAGAAAGGTAGTTCGGCAAATGCGGTTTGGGAAGACGATTATCGAGAACAAATTGAAGCGCTTGAACGGAAAAACTCTGCTTTATCTCAAAAGGTACACCGTGTGACTGTCTCTACTTTTGTTTGCTCTGTCCCATAAACCCGCTCTACTTTCTGCACATAAACTTGTTTGATTCCGGTACAAGGAATAATTGATGCAGCTGAAAAAAAAACTAGCACATTCCTAGCCCCGTGTTTTAACGCTGCAGAAAATGGTTCGGCTGTTGAATATGGCCTTCGTTTGTTTGTAAGCAGGTACTTTTATTTATTTTTTTGTGTGAGATTTATGCNCTCTGCCAACACTACTCGACTTTAATGGTCGGCAGCCTCCGGTGTGCGCCACGCAATAATACCCTTATCGTACTGCGGCCCGTTGTGTTGTTCGTTACTTAAAGTCCTAAGGCTGTGGTTGGCAGTTCCAATAACCACATAGTCGGTCCTGATGAATGTGCCCGGGGGGGAGGGCGGGATCTGCCACTGTTTTACTGTTCCGTATACTAGAATATTTAGTGAAAACCAAATACTCACTTAACAAAAACGGATGGATGGAAAATGAAAATTCAGTTGTCTTTTGGATGAAGCGGGTTCCGAACGGACAATCAGTTGACACTATATACAAGCATATACGTAGACCTTCGTCACATGATCTTTTTATTGTCTGATTTCCCGAATAGAGACAAACAAGACCGAACGGTGCTGCGAACACTGTTTGTAATAATATGCCACCGAAACCTTCTGGATCATTGTGACCCGGAGCGCTGATTTACTCCTAAGCAGGCCTAGGTAAAAAATCTGTTTCGCCGTATTTTCGTACCTCGTGAATGATTGATTGTGATTGGGGCGGGAATCATGCGGAGATGCACGGACCCAAAGGAGACTAAAACTCGCGACCATCGAACATTAGGAGGTCACAGAGATTTAGGATTTTGTAAGATTAGATACTGTTGTATGCCTATCCGTCCATTCCTGTAACTGATTATAGGAGTGACGCATTCGAGCGAATCCCACCACAACCCCGATCGCCAATCCCAGAAACTTACTATTTTTATTTGGAACGGCTTTTGAAATGTTTACCGCGGGGTCGGTCATACGTTGACCATGTTGATGACAGTATCTCCACTGCAGGCGGTTTCACAAACGTGTGATCGGCATTCGGTTGGTGCCTATAAGTCTCTGAACACGGAGCAATAACGTCTTCCTTGACTGATTTTATTCTACCAACTTCGGATTTCTTCTTATTGAATACATTAATAATTCACAACACATGCTCTATTGTCGTCAATTAGTATACTGTTCTATTCTTGTCACAGCTGTTGCTGGCCCAGAATCAGATCAATGTTCAAAGGCAACGTGTTGGAAGTGCAGTGAGTGAAATGTTCTATATTTGTTGCATACAACAGACTAAAATTTATACAGTCTGAAACCCCATTGATTGCTGTTTGCCGAGTTGCGCAAATTCGCACGTTTTTTGTGTTGGTGATAATTGTAAGAGAAGGAAGAATTTCGTACGGCTGGTCGTGTTGCGTTGCTCACAATGAAATGTTGTGCGTCCCCATCAGTTGCGATCAGCAATCCCGGGTGTTTGATTCACTCCGATTTTCTTTGTCGCAATAATAATAATAATAATAATAATAATAATAATGTTAATTGTGCATCACATTTTTCCGACTGGTTAAAAGTTTGTAGTTGCAATCAATGTGGGAGAATTGGTTTGGTTAGTATAAGATGCATGGCATTGGTTATCTAATTTGACATGTTCTTGTTTTCTCACATGACACTCTGTCTGACGTTCAAAGAAGTCCGGTGTAATTAGATACAGTGATTGCACTGACTATCTCGCAATTGTGCTGTAGTGCAGATATAATATAAATGCAATCATGCAAAACTTCTCTAGACGCACACTTACTACTAACATTTTTTTGAGTAGTTCATCCGCAAAGCAAATGTTATTGATCCATCCTTGTTCGCTCCCATTTGGGGGGAACGGTTTCAGCCCAATACAGGTCGCACAGTGAATCGGGCCAATATGCGTACTCTGGCCGGAACACCAAAACACAATCGGAGCAAGGAGAGCGGAGCGACTGGAGCATTGCAAACTGTTCGAATACAAAATGCCGCGTTGTAAGTGCTTCAATTTCGACAACTGTCAGCACGATTAACCGACGATTGTGACTAAGTCGACTACGACCGTATTTCACGTCTGAACGGAAACTAAGCTGCGTAGAATTTCATCCGTTTTCTACCCTGAAAACCCAAAATTATCGATGTCGATCGAAGTGGGTGACAGGGCACTCACTGCACTGATCCAGGCGAACCGTGATTCATGTTAGAAACATTCACAGGACAGCACACAGTGACTGAGAATATTGTACCCTAAGTAGAAGATATACTCAATCAACGTAGTATTTTTGTCATTCTACGCGAATAACTAAAACGGTGCTTTTGGTAAACTTTTGTTCTTGGAATCTTCATTTTTATTTTACTGAAAAAAGTAGTTCCCCCTTAATCGGTGTTCATTGTGCTTTCTACAATCCATTGATCTCGTCAATTCACTGCAGTAGTCACTCTGCCATTAAACGTGTAGTTTCAAAGTGTTTGTTACACTGGAAAACGATTTCGTTAAGCTGTAAATTTGCCATTCGAATCTCACTAATCTCACAATTATCAGTGTGCAGTTCAGTGTGCATACTATTACGGTTATGAAGATGCATACGAGTTGAATTTTCTTCCCAAGGACATTGTGAGAAGAAATCGATTTTTCCCATTTATGGTAGTCAGTACTTATCTATCAATCCGTTAAAGTTTTGTTTTGTAACTTCTGTTTACGTGGTAATGGTGAATTTATTCTGCAGCTGTTAGTCTTTGTCTCTGGGTCAAAGCATACACAGTTGAACAGGAAGCCGTATAAGCATCTGAAAGTAGTCTTGACCGATTGGTTAATCCCATCATGCTGCGGTTTTTGACACACACGTACGCATGCACACACAGAGGTCACGTCGACTGACCTGAGAACCGTGTTCAGCCTTGTGTTCTGCCAACTTGTGCTTGTGATGGAATCACATGTGCGGCGTCATCCTCAAATCCCGGAGTACGAGGTTTGACGAGTGGCCCGCAGCAAACGAAACAGGATCTGAGAAATGAAACAAATTTAGTTAAACAATGTCACTTCAAAAATAATTTATAAGACAAAAAGGAACCCATAGGCTGGATATGTTGGGTTGGGGATGGGGGAAAGCGAATGCACTTTTTTCTTGCTTTATTCGGAGGCGTCCAAATAGTTTAAAATTCCAATTGGGAATTCGTCGTGTATTGAGCAAATGAAGCATGAACTGAAAAGCTAGGAAATACTGAACAACTGTTTTGATCTGGTTGAGTCTCATCAGTGCATTGTGCGAATCCCTCGAGCAAACCAGGGATCGAACCCGGTACCTCACAGGTAGAACGCAACCATGCTACTCACTCGTCCACCGGGCAGATGATCGAACCACTTTTCATTTTCCATTTACACGATATAGCACAATCCATCTTTGCGAGCTTGTTGCACGCCACCGACCTCGCTCATCTGAGCACTGGCCTCCGAGGTTATAGCTCAGCTGAAAACTTTCACAACCTGATTGCTTGTTTCAGATGAGTAATGGGGGATTTGATTCAATTTCAAAGTGGGAATCCGTCATGTATTTCTGATGAGACCCAAACCAGGTCGAAACAGCTGTCCAGTAGTGCTTCCTAGGTTTTCAGTTCACGCTTCATTTGCTATATACACGACAAATTCCCTCATTGAAATTGAATCAAATCCTTCATTACTCACTTGAAACAAGTTTCAAATTCCCCAGAATGATACACAGTCGGCATATTTTCTTCAATATATATGCCTATTGTGTGACACATTATTCAACAATATATAATAAGTTTGTATTAAACCCTCAGTGAAGCACATTATACACTGTATGGATATCCCAACACTGATATTTTCTTGCGATGGAAATGTTTGTGATAACCAACAAAGAGCACTGCACAGCTGTTTCGTCTTGTTTGGGACTCGTGAGCAGTGCGTACTTCTTGTGTCCCTGTCAGGACTCGAAACGCGATTCTTCGGGCTGGGACTTCAAACCCTTAACCTTGAGCTACACGGTCGATGGTTTTCACCTTGTGCTAATGGCGAATGTTTGGATTATCCCATTCGGTTTTCTCACAGGCACCAGGCACTGTTGATGATGTTCGATGTGGGGAATTAACAATCTACCAAGGAGTGAAACCCACATCGAACATCATCAACAGTGCCTGGTGCCTGTGAGAAAACCGAATGGGCTAATCCAAACATTCACCATCTAAATTGACATTTTCAGCCTAAAACCCCGTGAGATAGAAAAATGTATCTGTTGTATATCAAGCCAGGCAATTTCAGTGTACACCTTGATCCATGACTGTGTGGCCATCACGTAAGCACTATCCATTATTCAAGGTACAGTAGCAATAATAATACTGATAATAATACCTAAAACAGAAGACAACAAATACCACTGTTATAAATCCACAAGACGGTGCCGGGACGAGGAAATTCATTGATTACGAGTAACGATAAGGGTGTCGTTAAATTGGCCTACATAAAAGAAAATGTTTCATTTGGAATACGTTTTCAGAAATCCCACAAGCATACCGGTTAATTAATGAAATGGTAGGTGCACATTTCCCGTAATTACCATTTTGAGCACAATTATTCGCTGTAAGAGGTCTTGTTCATTGTTAACCGTTGAGCGAAACAGTCATACATGTTCTTTGCGCAGTCTAACCATACTATTCTACTACACATAAATGTCACCAGCTGTTCAACAACAACAGCAACAACGGCAACAACAATGATAACAATAATACTAATAACGACAACAACAATAAACAATAACAACAACCATCTGTTTTTATTGTGCCCAAGTCAGATCCCATTCACTTTGGATTTGCTTGAAAGTTAAGCCAAATGGGACAACAGAACGCTTGTGATCCTTAAGGCGTTCGTGTGTATGTGTGTATGCGTGTGTGTTTGGAACGAGAACGAGTAAGTACGTAAGTAATCACGCCAACATATAATGAATGGGAACAGTCAGATAATGGGAGGAAGTTCAATAGACGTCATATTTCTCACCTAAAGCATGCTACATATGTATATAGTAAGTGCTCACGAAGTAAATGTCTGTATATTAAAAGAAACTCGCGGGATCTGTCAGTGAGTTCATATTCTGTCTTGATCGAACTCTGGAAATTAAAAAGGGAATACTTAAAGTCATTGAGGCAAACCGCGGGCCCATACAAACAGGCTGAGAAGNGAAGCGCACAAGCAAAAGACGTATGCCATGTCCGTCTCTAGAATAGGTCTACTTCTCATTCGACTGATGGATCAGTGCAGAGGTGCACAATCAAGTGAAACATTCATCCGAAAAGAGAAGAAAATATTAGAAAGGTTAGAGTTTGACCAGATATTACGTTACCAAGCGTTACGGGCACATAGTCTGTCGGGCTTAAACTCGAATAATCAGGCTCCGTGTAGATTTGAAATCATTCTTGATCACTTTTACAGTGTCGGTATTGAGTTAGTTGAAGACAGCACTCCTTCGTGGATTTGTCATTTATCACTCCGTTTCTATCTGTTGGCATTGGTAAGAAGGTTTGTGAAATCATCCGTCTACTGAGGAACTGGACATGACCCACCCATCCATTAGACCCTGATGATATATACATTCAGGGCTGTTTAGAAAGTTCAATGCTCATGTGTGTCTAACACCGGAAGGTACCTAAGATGAGAACGTATGTACAAAACAGTTGCGATCGATTTCGCACAAAGTTACCCAGATTTTCTCACCTCTCACCCACACGTCCTTCTCTTTCTCCCGTTCTGTACAACAATTGCAATTCTAACAACTGTTGATATCTCTCCTTCTTTCATCATTCTGTTCCCTGACCAGAGAGCAAACTGTGAAAAAACTATCCGAGCAGCTACAAGATCGCGAGAAAATTATTGTGCAGTTAAAAGAAGAACTCCAGGCCAAAGATTCTAATCACCAACAGGATATGCATGCGTTGATGCAACAGTTGACCAGTAAGCAACGGTAAGTTGGGCCGTGGAACATGTTTACGGTCTTTGTCTGACTCGCATTTACTTACTTCACATCCAAGGTGCTAAATTATAGGCCGTGTCTTTGCCAGAACTCATTGTTCAATGATGCTAATCGACCTAAGCAGCCTAAGCCGTTAAACTCGGACTGACATGTTACATAAGGCCCCAGTAGGATAGATATGCTACTGAGGTGAACAACAACGTAGATGCCCAATAACGAAGTTAGGTGGCGGTAGCAGAGTTCGAATCTCATACCTGTGGCACGGACCCAGTCTGTGACAGTGCATTAAAATGTTGGATCAGGGCCACCAGAATGCAAATAAGTGAACGAATTAGCCATTGTAACAGTCCGGTTGCGCACGGAGCTAAAAAAGGGAATGATTTGCCGGTTTTTGGCCTCAAATTGATTCCGATTTGGCACCAACAATGATCAGTACTTAGTTTTGTTAGTGAAGTGAAAGTTTAAAAAAAATAATGTGAATGCGTGTAACGAGAAAACGAGTCAGCAGGTAAGTGATCAGCTCATTGAGTCCAGTTCTCAACAGTATGATGAGAATATCAATAATCCGGTTATTAAATTATTATTCCCAAGACAGTTATGTGCACAAACTAGCGCACATGATTTTGTGTTGGAAAAACTGGCAGGTTATCGTTGTGGGGAAAGTCGATCCGATATAACCATCTTGCATTTGATTGTTGTATTGTGTGTATTAATGTTGTATTATGTATAACTTTTGCAAGCACGGGAGCTCATATTTCATTTAAAAAATTATACACGCTAACCGTCACAATGTACATAATAAACTGTGAGGAAATTTTGACAGACATGGGGACATTTCATAATCCAAGGTTAGGCCAAAGTTCCGTTATTATCCGCTCTTTGTTTGTGAGTAAACGAGCGGTAAGCGTTAATTCGAGATGAGGTTTGGCGGAATTGGGAGCGTGTTGAATGGTGGGGACGACACCATGTCAGTTCTGCGTACAATGGGTGGTCAGGATCTGCGAGAATCCTCTCAGCAAATTTCACACAGGAAGTTATTTGATACTCTAAAAGCTTTACAGCTAACTCATTCACAGCAATAGAAGAAACACGGCGTAAGACTTTGAAATCCTGTTTGACTAAGCCAGGAAAAATAACTGGGGAAGACACTGAAAAACAAAGGTAGAAATAAATGACTAATATGCGCGAAACTACCTGAGCTTTCGGATTTGAAATGATAGACGCCGCAGTTTACCAATGCAGTTGTGGACGTGGTTAGACCAATGAAAACTGCTATCTATGGTTACACCAAGATATTTGACGGACTTCACACTAGATAAAAGATCGTTATTAATCACTATGGGGTCTGTTGGATATGGAGCGCGAGCAAAACCACGTGCAGTTGCGATAAGGATGGGCAAGGCCTGGCATTGATGTTCTTTCAGTTTATAACAATGCATGTGTACTGTTGCTAGAAGTATGTCACTTCATGGACTACAAACAAACGTTTTTTCGATATTGTACAAAAGTGAAGTACTGAGCTGTCGTAATAAGCATGAGACGAGAGAGAGAGAGAATCCAATCATGTTCACAGCATATGTTACCCATTTTCTCTCCTTGCTGATCAATTCTCTGTTCCGAAAGACCTCGAAATTTATTGTTTCATGATTTTGTCGGTGTCTTCCGTGTAGCACCCAATTTATATGCATCACGTTTTGGGGCAATCCTTGTGAGCTTTCTCAATTACACATCGAACATTCTACTGGTCTTTTCACTCCCTCAACTGAATAGGTAACCAAAAAGGTATCAACAAACCGACACACCAAAGCGCATAGACTTGAGTTGTATAAACTGCACTGGACTAAAGTAATCGGTAACTTCTTCGCACTAGATGGCTAAGGATCAGGTTCCAACGCCGTATGTAAATAGTTCACTATGTCAAAAAATATCTTATGAGGATGTTGTGTACCGTTAAAGTATATAAATAAGCATGTAGTGGATTAGGCAGTAAGCTCCTTGTAGTCGGCACACACGTAGCCAGTCCGTCCGTAGGTTGATGAGCAAGCAGGGGAGGGGGGACAACATGCAGGCAGCAAACAGGCTGGTCAACAAACGGCTAACGCGACTTTCAAATGCGGTCGAACGGGTCAAACAGTCAACGAATCAGTGAGCGCGGACAGTCCAATACTAATACCTGATTGGCTTGAGCGGAGCAATATTGTGATGGAGTCAGTTCGCATGGCGTGAGTGTGCGCGTGTGTGTTAGCAGGCAGCATCTGTCAATCGATCGATCAATCCATCAACCAATCCAGTGGCAGGCATACATGACAACGTATCATTCAGATTGTAAGCCACAACAGGGACAGGAATGGGCTCTCAAGTTGATATTACCATTTTCAAAAAAGGGTTGCACAAAATCTGCTTGAATCAAATCGAGACGCGCATTTGATTCTGTTCATCACATAAGCGCTAACCTCCGTGGATAGACAGACGAATACATACGTGTTCGGGAACTCCGGGTATTTTTAAGTTCGGGCATTCACTGCAGCTAATAATTTTGATGAATCGGGTTCGTTGAATAGGACAAATGTTGCGGCATAGCTGTCCGTCAGACAACGCTCCTTTTTGCAGTTTTGCCCTTCCAAGGTGACGATCAATAGTTGACACAAAAAGCGATTAGGGCAGATATCTCTTATCTTTCCGGCTAGGGTCCAATAAGTACTGCAATCAGTTGGTTGGGGAAAAACGTTAAGGATTGGGATAGTAAACTGACAAAAGACGACGCTATTCTTCTGTTATTTTCTTTCCGGTGATACTGTTTGAGGAGATATAAACGTATGTCTATACTGTGTAAACTGATTTTAGTAAGCATGGTAGATCATTCTATTATCCAGTTATCTAATCTGTTTCACTCCCGTAATCATTTTATGTAGTCGTATTTACTTGTTATTTTCTTTATTCATCTTAACTACTTTGTAGTCCAACCCCCCATGTTTTATTATTCTTATTGTTGCGTTGGCACCAAGCCTGCTCGGTAGTCGGTGATATATATATATAATATATATATTTGCATATATCCATATATATATATATATGGATATATGCAAATAAAATCTCATTTGCAGCACCCGGAGTGGATTTGAGATGAACAAACCTCGGACAATCATTCCGACGATTCTACGTTAGGCTTTGTGGGTTAGACGCGTCTAACCTCAGCAAACACGACACTAGGGCCAATTTTTAGCGGCTCGCTGGCAATTCAGGAAACATAGTTGTTTGGCAGATTTGAAGTTTGTATGTCGATTGTGAAAAGTTCAGTAGCCTCGGTGGGATTCGAACCCACGCATGGACACCGCCTACGCTTTGTACGCGCATGCTCTACCAGCTGAGCTACGAGGCCACACCGATAGCACTGATTTTTTTCACATTCGAATTCAATTCAGGAAACACTGAAAGCAACTCCTCCCCAGTCTCTTTTTAACGATATTGAATTTAATGTGCCAAAGTGTGAGTTTGTATCTCTACAACACAACGGGCAATTTTCGTATTTCCGCAGAAATGAACAACTACCACACCTCAAATGAGAGGGACCTGGGCATCATCGTTCAAGAAAACTTGAGTTGCTCACTCAACTGCATCATGGTGTCGAACTTAGCTGCAAAGAATGTCGGTTTGCTTAGGTGGGTCTTTGGCCGGTTTGAGTCAACGCTTTTCCCCGTCTATTATTAGCATACATTCAGATTATGCTATCTAGGCATGGAATCCATGGCTACAACTTGATTGCAAAGTGCTGGATCGTCCACAAAGATGGCCACCAAAAGTGGTCAGGCGGTTGAATCGGTGTTCACACGCAGAGAGATTGAAGTCACTGGGGTTATATTCCAATCACTACCGGCGCATCAGAAGAGATATGATTATGGTATACCAAATAATGCAAAACCCAAGCAACCCGTGTCGCCCGCTTCTGAAATTATCACCCAACGTTCATTTTGGAGGACATCTATTGAACTAGTGGTCTCCAAATGCCGATTGGAATGCCGGCGTCAGTCATTTGCAGTCAGAGTGTGTTCAATCTGCAACTCTCTCCCATCCTACGTCGTCTGTGCTCCAAGCATTGAATCTTTCAAACTGATACTTGATGAAACATTAGCACACCTTACATTCCAACATAGGGGAAGCTGCATGCAGGAGTGGAATTGTATGTATCGCTGTCTTTTAGTAGTAATAGTTGTAGTAGTAGTAGTAGTAGTAGTAGTAGCAGCAGCAGCAACAGTAGTAGTACGGTACTAGAATACAAAGCACGCAATAGGAATCACAGGACACCAATGTAGGATCAGCTATCACGGACTGGATTATGGAAGCACTAGACCGCAATGGCATGAGCTCGCAATATCCCAGGTGAACGATACGCGAGGAAAGGACCACAAGGATGGTAGTTCGTAGTTGATTTATTGAAAGGAATGAGGCGATTAAATAATATGTACAAAAGAAGATCATTGGTTATTTAGGCTTTCACTGATCGTATTGCAGTATTGCTTGCATAATTCTGCTACTGTCTGCACTGTCTCGGATTGGCTGGCGCGATCTGCCTACGGCGTGTAGTCAGAAGCCGTACGCGCGTCATTGTCGTCACCTTTCTACTTTGATTGATCGCAGGTGTTCAAAAACTGTAGGGTAGATTGTCATAACCTAGGCCTGAATCACCACAAAAGCATAAGCTTGTAAGTTATTTCCATGATAGATCTTTAACTTTTGGTCTTTGACCGGACAAGATTACCTAGAAGCACACAACCGGTTTTACGGTCTTTGCTGCTCGTCACGTATGTGTATTCGATATTCTTCTATCTGGCCATTCTTATGCATATATGCATACATATATAGTCCAGTGAAACAAAATATATATTGTAAAATATTCAATAAAGATGTTTAAGTCGCAGTTGTTGTAGTTTGTAGCATCTAACCCATCAGCGAAGAATTGTTTCGATTCAACAACGGACTGGTTCTGAAAGAGCTATCCATATAAATTTACCCGGTGTTGT